ATGTCTGTCTGTCTGTCTGTCTGTCTGTCTGTCTGTCTGTCTGTCTGTCTGTCTGTCTGTTTGTTCAGCTGTTTTAGAGAAAACGAGCGAAACAATCGGAAAATTTGACTATTATATCGAAAATTAGGTACTTTTATGGTTTACATGACCCATTTACACATCTTTATCCTTGTAAGCTTCATTCTTTAAATCATTTTGAAGAGATTTCCTGCTATACTTGTAGAATTGTAGGAAACGGAGAGATTCAATGTAAGCGATATTTTGAGATCTTGATAATCTCAAAAAGTTTAATATAAGTTAATCTTTTGATGCGCAAGAATTACGATTCCCCTTTTTGCTCTCATTACTCTCATTCAAGTCATGTCTCAATAGGCCTTTCTTTTCTCTTAAAATCCAAATCGAATGAGTGTTGATCTCTGGAAGATTTGACTACGTAAGCACTACATTTTTGCTAGATGATTGACTCCAAATGTTGGCTCATTGTTTTGCTAACTTTTTTGAGAAGCTTTTTGCCTTTGGTGACATTTAGAGAAGTTTTGCTGAATGTTGAAAAGAAGAAAGCCAATTTTTGTGCATGGAAACGTGGAATCTGTTCTTTTTTGATTAAAAAGCGTTCTAAAAAGGGTTTTTTAGAAAACTACCGTAATCAACTTCCAGTTTTCATTCGATCAGCTCAATTTTTGTATCATTGACTAATCCTGATGGCTTGACTACAATAGTTTTCCAAGCCAAACTACCTCCAATCAATTTCTGATCAAGGAATTAGATTTTCTTTAAATGTTAGGACTTGTTAAAGTGATTAAACTGGTAGAATGGTTAGTACAAGTTCATCAACAGCTCTATTGACCCAGACGATTCTATTGACTACGTTAGACGATCAATTGTTATTATTTTCGAGTTCTCAATCAAAACCTCTCCTCTAGACTTTGACCCGTTGTCCTTTTACGCTTGAATATTTCAATCATCGCAGACACAATCATCCCAGACACCTCCACGGGGGCGAGCTCTTCAATTCTTCGTTTTTCTCCATTTTTCTCCAAGTCCATTCTTACCCACGCTTCTAAATATTTCATTGACCGACAAAAAGCGATGAGAGAAGAATGGATAAGTAAGTAGACAAGCACGTGGGGAGTCAAAGTCGAACTTGGCAGAGTTGTATTTTGGATTCAAATAGCCGGGCAGCACTCCTAACAGTTCAGAATCTGATTTCATTTCTGGCATTTCATCTTTCCTCGAACTCACTTAAACAATAAATCACAGAATTCATTAATCAGAAGGAGGGGATTCTGTCATTTGTTTCCCGAAAATCAGAAGGAGGGGATTCTGTCATTTGTTTCCCGTTTCCGATCTCAAGCTCTTTCGGATGTTTTTTGTGTTTTTGTGAAAATGAAAATGAAAAAACATACTTTTTGATGGATTTAATGGATAAATGGGTTGATTTTGGATAAATAAAATTTGATATTTCATTCTAAAATAAGCTTAATACCCCAACAGGAGTAGCGCTGAGTGTCATTTGATTGCCCCAGGTCAATCGCAATCGAGAGATTTCCTCTGCCATTTCCCTTCCCGTGAATCATCTAGAAATCGGTCGTATTCTCTTCGCTTTAAGCTGCAATAACCAGTTCCTTTTTTGATTCAAAAATGAAAATGAAAAAACATACTTTTTGATGGATTTAATGGATAAATGGGTTGATTTTGGGTAAATAAAATTCGACATTTCATTCTAAAATGAGCTTAATATCCCGTAAGCAGTAATAAGAAAGAGTTGGGTATTGATAAGAGTAAGAAAGAGTTGTGTGTTGTTAGAATAATAAGAAAGAGTTGTGTGTTAGAATAATAAGAAAGATTTGGGCGTTGTTAGAAAGGCTTTAGTTTAAAGTTTTTGTAAACAAGTGCATAATTCAAACTTACCAATTTCCAATGTTCGTTTTCTCTTGTTGTGTTGTTGGGTGCTGTTGTTGTTCATGTTGGGTGCTTTCTTTAAAAAACAAAAACCTCATCATATTGTATGTGATGGGTTTTTCTTGCTTAGTTAGATTTGAAAAAGGAAATCTTTAGATGTCCGTTTATCTCCAAAGTTTGGAATGCTTTTGGACAATGGTTTGGACAATGGACAATGCTTTTGGACAATGGACAAATCGATGACGACCTTCATGATTTCGATTTTTGAGCTGTAATCAGTAATAAGAAAGAGTTGGGTGTTGTTAGAAAGACTTTGTTTAGACTTTTTTCAACATAAAATCCACCAAGAAGTTGAACATTTTGCAGCTGAATGCACTAGAAAGAGCAAATTAAAAGTATTTACATGTTCAAAGCAAATCCTTTGCTTTTTTTGCTCTTTCTAGTGCATCTTCTTTGCTCAAAGCAAATCCTGAACAATTTACGAATTCTCTAACTTTGAAAGATCTCTTAAAAAAAGCAAAGGAAATGTTTCTCTTTTTAAAATCGAAGTCTCAAATCAATTGGAGGAAAGTCTCTCTCATTTTTAAAAAACATTATCAAGTTCTTTGGAGTACAAAGAGTCGCACTAAAAGGTTTTTTCTTTAAGATTTCTGGTTGTAAATGCTGTTTTTCGGAAATGACGTTGAAGAAAACTGTAGAAAATCGTCTAAAATCGACTAAAATCGTCTAAAATCGTCTAAAATCGTCTAAAGTCGTCTAAAATCTTCTAAAATCGTCTAAAATCGAGCTTCTAAACATTAAAAATCGAATCAATACCAATTTTTATATACTATTGAATTAATTTAATTGAAATTTAAAGTAAAATCGGTATTTTTGACTCTTACGCTTACCATAAATAGTAAAATTTGCATAATAAAAGAGTTTTAAAAGAATAAAAGAGTTGTAAAACAATAAAAGAGTTGTAAAACATAGTAAAATTTGCATACGAATAAACAAATTCTTTCAGAAGATTGAAAAAAAACATTTCTTATTTTTACTTTTAGTTTCAGTTTACTTTTTAGTCTTTGAGGTGTTTCTCGAAATGCAAAACGATCAGATTTTGATGCTAATTGTATGAAATATCAAATTGTGATTGGCTTTTTATGCTAATGATAGGCAGCTATGCTAATGATAGCCAGCTATGCTAGTGATAGGCAGCTATGCTAATGAGAGGCAGCTATGCTAATGATAACCAGCTATGCTAATGATAGGCAGCTATGCTAATGCTAGGCAGCTATGCTAATGGTAGGCAGCTATGCTAATGATAGGCAGCTATGATAGGCAGCTATGCTAATGATAGGCAGCTATGCTAATCAGCCAGCTATGCTAATCAGCCAGCTATGCTAATCAGCCAGCTATGCTAATCAGCCAGCTATGCTAATCAGCCAGCTATGCTAATCAGCCAGCTATGCTAATCAGCCAGCTATGCTAATCATAGCCAACTATGCTAGTGATAGGCAGCTATGCTAATGAGAGGCAGCTATGCTAATGAGAGGCAGCTATGCTAATGATAACCAGCTATGCTAATCATGGCAGCTATGCTAATGGTAGCCAGCTATGCTAATAGCCAGCTATGCTAATGATAGACAGCTATGCTAATAGCCAGCTATGCTAATCAGCCAGCTATGCTAATCAGCCAGCTATGCTAATCAGCCAGCTATGCTAATCATAGCCAGCTATGCAAATTGATAGTCAAAGATAATTCGATAATTTGTGACGGTAGGCTTCAAAAGTATCGTAAAATTCCGTCACAATTTTACCGTAAGTACCGTCAAATCTTTTGTTTTTGATCATCAATGTTTTAGCACAAGAAATTCTTGTTGAAACATTGCGGTTTTTGGAAGGAATTGGCTTGGAAACGTGTTCATCCTATTAACTTTTTCTTGAGTAGTCAGATTTTCATGTAAATTTGGATTTCTCTTAGTTGGATAGCACACAAAGATTGGTATTGATTGGGAAATCAATTTGCGCTAGGATTTTTCTCTTGTTTCTTCTTTCTTTTCTTCTTGTTTCTTCTTTCTTTTCTTCTTGTTTCTTCTTTCTTTTCTTCTTCCTTTCTCAAAAGATCGAAAAGCTACCATAGTTGAGGAGTTTTTCTGTATAATATTAGCAGTAGATTAGCTAGGTACGGTAACTAGGTACGGTAACTTTTTGGTGTTAGTAAACTCTTTGTAAGCACACAGTAATCTTTTTGATTTCATTGGCTGAGTTGAACTCAAATGATTTCTGTATTTCTTTTTTAAAAAAAACATTTCTCAAACCTTTCCTTATACCAGAAACTTTCTGTAATTGAAATAATCAATTTTCATTCATAAATTGTTTATGTTTACATTGTTTATGTTTACATTTTCTTCTGTTTCTGGATTCTTTCTGTTTTTAGATTCTTTCTGCTTCTGGATTGTATCAATATTTCATTTTCAAAGGATAATTTCGAAACTTTATTCCACGTAAAATCTGACTAGCACTTTTAAACACGTAGCCAAGTGCAAAAAGAAAAAAAAAATTTGAAATCAAATATACAATCTAACGAAGAAACTGAAGGAAAAAGAAAAGGATTGAAAAGAAATTTGGGCACCAGAATGTAAGAGATAAAAGAACAACTAAATATTACTCTCAAAACAACATGATAGACCTAGATTCGACTTTTTAATTGAATCTGCGAATGATTATACAAATAATTTCACTAATCTAGTTAAGAATTTCAATGAAATTCAATAAAAAAACAGGATTTATAATGATTTTTGAGATTTATAATGATTGTGATAAAGAATTGTGCAAAGAATTGTGCAGAATAAAGGGCATAAAATCGATGAACTTCCGGGTCTAGTTGGGTAATTTGCTTAGGGAAATAGGAAACAAAAGAGGATTGATAGAATTACGATAAGCTAATGATTGATTGGATTACGATAAGCTAGTGATTGATAGGATTACGATAGAAATGAGCACTCTAGCTAGGATAGAACAAAACCGGCATGAATCAAAGCAAAAGTTTGGCAAAAACCCGTCGATAACCCGTTTTTTTATTTTAGTTTTTGAGAGTAGGGCTTTTGAATCTTCTAATCCTCGTAAACTATTCGGCTTGGATGATTGCAATTGTCGGTTGTACAGCAGCAAAAAGGCGCTGGAAAACCTTTCCTCACCACGCAATCGGGTTTGCAGTTTTGGAGACTGATCTAGAATTGATTGAATTGATTGAGATTGTATTGATTCTCTAATAAACACTCATTAAGCACTTAGAGCCACTATAGAGCCACTTCGTGACTTCCAACTCACCGATTGGTGTATCCAACAGCCGCTAGTCACGTTCACGATCGACATACAAGCGGCGAAAAACTCGTCACTGTTTTGATCATCGGTCAACACGCAGAGGTTGCCTTCAGCTTCCTGAAAAGGTAAAGATTAGATAGATTTCATTACTGAAGCTCTAGATCTCTAGTATTATTGAATCTAAATCCCTCACCTCTGACGGCTCAGACTTCCAGCACTCGATTTGTGTCGGCAAAGTTTTCTCGATTCTCTCCAAAGTCTCTTCAGAAGGTTCACTAAAGAAATTGATTAAATAAAGCTTTGTTTTGATCAAGCTTTGTTTTGATAAAACTTACTCAAAGGTCACGTGTCTCTTCGAGTGTTTCTGGTGATGATGTTTGTGGAAATGTCGACAAACGACTGAAATCGTTGAGGTCAAGAGGCAAATGGCGGCAATTCGGAGGAGCATTTCGGAAGATTTTCTGAAGATTTAAAGATTATAAATGATTTGTAGACTAACAGAACACAGAAATCAAAGGATTAATCCACCAAAAGTACTTTTTATGGCTGAGAATCTTTCCTGAATGATTAAGCGGTAATTTGAAGTGAGAGTTTACATTAAATAAGTAAAAAAAAAGAACAGGAATTAAATGAGAATTGAAATTGATGAATCTAAAACATTCAATTTCAGCTTTTGAAAAGATTGAAGAGGCTTTTTGGGTTAAATTTGTTCTCGAAAACCACTTCAATGTTATAAGCAGGTTCTAAGCAGATTTTCAAAGCTTAAAATGTGATTGAAGACTAAAACGGAAAAGAAAAGGCTGGATACTAGAGCTGAAGGCTGATAAAATAGATAAAAGCTTGACAAAAAACTGGACTTTAAAGTTCTATGAGAAATTGTTGAATAGACAGGTTAGTAAGTAGATCTAGACAAGATTATGGGCTTCAGATAACAGATAAATCTATTATCTAGAATCTATTAGTCTATCTAGACTAATAGACTCAAGATAATAGAAAGAAGCAAAGAAGAGTCTATTATCTATGCCTCCTATAGATATCTATAGATAGCTATAGCTATAGCTCTATCTATAGCTCTATCTATAGCTCTATCTATAGCTCTATCTATAGATATCTATAGATATAGCTATAGATATAGATATAGATAGCTAAACAGTAATCAAGATACAAGACTGATAGTCTTCACAAAGTAATCAGCCAAGATTGTTGGGAATGGATAGACAACCACGAGAAGCGGATGCCATTTATGTAGGGTTAGCAGAGGCGGGATGGCCTGTTCTAACATGCGAGAAGAAGGGGGTGGGTCTTCAGCTCAAATAAAGAGAAAAGAGAGGAAAGAGGGGAAAGCCGATCACGACACATCGTCTGGACCACGCCCCGTCTCATTCCTTTTTGAGAGAAAACGTTTTTTACAAGTTGCACCTAGAGCGACCGCCTACTGGCATTCGAAATACGGTAAGGGTTGTTAAGGATGAGATGATGGATAAAGGAACAACGACTTCTGAGCTAGTGTACTAGAAAATGGATGTTCACAAGAGATGTTTACAAGAGAATAGAGTATTCAAGCAATTCTCCAATAACTAATACAGTAATAGAAAGTGCTCGTTTGTAAAAACGATAGGCTTCAAGCTTAGCTAGCTAGCTTCAAGCTTGGCTAGCTAGCTTCAAGCTTGGCTAGCTAGCTTCAAGCTTAGCTAGCTAGCTTCAAGCTTAGCTAGCTAGCTTCAAGCTTACCTAGCCAGCTTCAAGCTTAGCTAGCTAGGTTCAAGCTTAGCTAGCTAGCTTAGGCTTAGGCTTAGACTAGCCAAAGCCGTTGTGTACTTTTTTGTTCTTGTAAACATTGAATTAAACTGCTACAGTAAACTCAGACAGATTCTAATACAAGATTTGAAAAGTTATTTACGAAAATTTCAAAAATAGAAACTCAACCGTAGTTCCTTCAAAGAACAATCAACGAAATCTCCATGAATTCTCGTTTTCAACTCTTTTTTCAATCCTTTTTCGATTCACTTCCTCATTTTTTTCTCAAAATATGCTAATCTTAAGAAGTATGTAGTCGGAAATCTCGAAAATCTCGAAAATCTCGAAATCTCGGAAATCTCGGAAATCTCCGAAATTAAACATTTTTTTTATCAGATTTTCGCATAGAACATGAAGAAGTTATTAAAAATTCGAAGTTCTAGAAGATTTAATGTTCTCTTAATAGGTAGATTTTGAGAACTAAACTTTTATCATCAAAAACCTTGATGTGGAAAGAAATTTGGTTGATTTTTTTAAAAAATTAAACTTCAAAAATGAATAAAGATGCAAGAATTGGATGAGTTTTTAAAGCAATCATTTCCCTCGTTTCACATTAGTTTGAAGTTCTGAAGCTTCTTGAAGTTCTGAAGCTTCTTATTGCAAAAAGATGCTTTCTGGTAAACTAGCCAAAAGCCGTTGTGTACTTTTTTTTGTTCTTGTAAACATTGAATTTCTGAAATACTCGATTTTAAAGCTTTTCAAGCATTTCAAGCTGTTCTCAGGCTTTCCATGAAAGCAGGAAGCAAGCTAAAGCATGAAAGAAAGCAGCATTACTTTCCATGAAAGCAGGAAGCTAAAGAATTGCTTTGCTTTGCTTTCCTTTGCTAGACATTCTTCAAGAATCAAAATGAAATCAGCTTTTTATAAAAATACGAATAAAATGCTAATAAAAGCGTTTCAAAGACCATAAAAGTGCATCATCAGCTACGCCTGAGTGAATTCATTTGATACTAAACTAAACTTTAGCTATTGTTTTGAAACTCTAACTAGATCAGACCTATTGAATCAAAAAAAGGCCAAAAAATTGCTCTAATCCCTGTTTTGACGCAAATTTCTAATAGAAAATATTGCAAAACGTCTCTTTTCATTTCCAAAACAAAATCTTGACTCAACGATCAGTCATCAGCTAGAGGATTTTGATTTTTTTAAAGTTTCTCAAGTCTCAAGCTTTCCAAAAAGCTTCTCACAATGTTATTTTCATCAAAACTTTATTCAAAATCTTTTAAATGATGAGATTTTGATGTAAAAGGGTTGTAAAAGCTTTAGGCTTTAAACTTTAAGCTTTAGGCTTTAGGCTTTAAGCTTTAAGCTTCTACAAATTCACCTTCCGACTATACAGCTTATCTATAGTCTCCTCCTTCAATTTCTAAACATAAATCCCACTTTCTATTCATATCAAATTTGTTGAAGTGGTCAGTCTGATCCCTCGATTGTGATCAAAATACTTTTCTGGCAAAAAGCGGCAAAAAGGGGCAAAAAGCGGCTAAAAGTAAATGGAGGTTTCCTCAAAAGCTATAATTATATCCAACTAATACCCACTTCACCCCCTGTCTGCCCTTTGTTTGTTCTCTTGTTTGTTCCCCTTTCATCCCCATAATTAGCTGTGTTATACTCCTTTTCAATGAATACTATATCAAATAGATATTAGAGATTTGTAGAGCTCAAGAAGTTACGAAAAGCTGGCGATTAGCCAATCTTACTGATTCATTTGGAAGTGGGAAATTGAGCAGAGTAAAAGTTACACAGCTTTTGGCTTTATTTCACGTTTTTTCTTGTTAAAATAGTCAAATTGAATAAAGAATCAATTTGTGTATTTGTGCCATCGAAGAATTTGTATTTTCTTACAATAAAACAATAAACAATTTGCTTACAACAAAACTATCAGCCTCAATTCGATTTCAGCCTCAATTTCAGCCTCTTCACAAAGAGTTTTAATGTAAAATGTTCAGTGTTAATAAACATGTCAGTGTTGACTTTGACCGGCGTTTATTGTAGTTGATTGCAGCAAATGGCGAAGATTCTAAAGAAAAACATTCATAAGACGCTCTAAAGAAAAACATTTATCAGCTTTTAGTAAGACTTTGCCTTATTTTTGACGGTAAAACCCACTTTGACAGGAACTTTCTCTGAAACTTTTGCTTTTTGCCTTTTGCCTTTTGCCTTTTGCAAGCCTCTCATGCCTTGTATATGTTCAGTGTTAATAAACTTATGCAAAACTCTGAGCTTTTCCAGATTCCAGCTTTTCCAGCTTTTCCAGCTTTTCCAGATTTCCAGCTTTTCTTATGCAGTTCTTGTATGTGATGAGTCTTTTGTTATTCTGTTATTTTGTTTAAAATTCGAACTGTACCCCACTTATAGTTAGTGCTTTTATCAGCAAAAGAGAAATGCAAATCCCAATCTTTGTTTTTTTTCCTCTCAAACTTCTCAAATTGTTAATTCCGAACTCAGCTATACCTTTAATTGATTCCAAATATTTTAACGAATCTTTTGGGAATTCCAGCATGGCTTTTGTTTTCGCACGGTGACAAGAACAAGAACTTAAAATACAAGTTTTTCTAGAGATTTTCAAAACCCAAAGGAATTGAAGAAAAAGATTTTTTCTTTGTTAGAATTATCGACGATAATTACCAGTAGATGTGAGCATTTGCATATAATTTATTCAAAGGGAAATCTAGGCAACATTTGATGACTCATCCATCTTCGATCTTACTGTATATAGAGTTTTTAAAGGTCAGAAAGTCTTCTGGAAAACTAGAATCAAGCCAAGATGAAGTTGCAAACGTTTAAAGGCCTAAAAGCAAGGTAAAACCAGATTGGATAGGTTTAGACTAGGCCACTTTACAGAGATTAATGACTCAATCGTACCAGTCAGTGTCCCATCGTACATATTTTCTGTTTTTCCCCAAAGTCTGGGAGGTTTTTATGTTTTTTTTCGAGTTTTCCCCCCACCCTCACTTCCTTAATCAAAAGAACGCAAAGTTTAAAATGATCTCTGAGAAACGGTAAACATTAAAACAAAAGAATTTTCCGCTTAAAGTGACTAACTTTAGGCTAAAGTTTGCCTAAATACTTGAATGGAGAGTTTTTCTTTTTGAATCACCTGCTTCACATTACTAGTTATCGCTTTGAAACAAGAAATGTTCTTGGCAAACGGAAATAATTGGCTCAGGCTTAGGCTTAGGCTTAGGCTTAGGCTTAGGCTTAGGCTTAGGCCTAGCTTAGGCTTAGGCTTGGGTTTAGGCTTAGGCTTAGGCTCAGGGAAAAAGTGATAACCATTGTTTTTCAATAAACTTTTCAATGAACTATTCAAAGAATTTCAAAGAAAACACATAAAGATGATAACCGAAAGATTCCTGAGAGAAAAGTTGATTTATGTTGATGTCATCTATGTCTACGTTGATTCTGAGTTGATGACCAGAATAGGTGGATTCTGAAGCTGAAGCTCATCTGAGTGTACAGTGCTAAGCACTCTTTCTGATCCACTAAGCTCAACGCAAATCTTAACTGGGATTGATTGTTGCCTTAGACAAACATTTTCTAATCTCTTCTGATCCAAGTACAGTAAATTCGTCATTTCAGTGGTTTTAGAAACAAAAACTATTCAAATTTTCATAAAATAGACAAACCGATCTATTCAGGATCTATTCAGAG